GTGGGAGAAAACGATATGTGACGAATTAATTCTGTCGCAATTTGCTTGAACGTTTCTTAAAAAGAATGAGAATTTTTAGTACTTGTATGAACTCCCAAACACTCAGTTCTCAAGTACTTACAATTTTCTAAAAACTAGTATTAGCAAATAATAACCATGCGACGTTTTGCAACAGGTAAAAGCCATCGCGATTTTGCTAGAACTACTTGGCAGGGAAAAACAAATCTGTCCTTCTTCTTTTTTGATTTATGATAATCTTTAGACTCCAAGATTGCCTCAAAAACACTACTTTCCCACTTATACTGATGGACGCTTTGCGATAGGTTAAGTCGCGACGGGTTATATCGCATACTGTTTCCCAAAAGTTAAGAGAATACGTATTTCCTCCATTTTGCATTATGATATATTTTCCTAGTATTTAACGCAATGAAATAATGAGCTAAATTTTCAAAGTCATATTAGAGTGGAGTAACTCAAGAATCCGCTAAAAATTTATTGGCTACCTCATCTTAGGAGCACGAACCAGGATTTTTATGATAACCGAGTTGTTTTCAGCCGTTGTTTTCTGTTTCGTCTTTTAATGTTTTGTCATTTTTTCTGAAGTTTCTCTAATTGAACTTTGTACGCAACTCTTCATACTAGTGATTTAGTTACAATTTCTTTTATGAGCAGGGAATTTGGAGACTTTGTAACAAACTATTCATCATGCACTAATAGTTTGCAAGAAAAAGGACCTATAAAACATTTTCGCTCTTAGGTTTGGTAGGAAAAATACTTTTTTTTGAGTACTCGCACCCACTTCTGCGAAGTTAAATGGAACAGTTCATTACAAATGCACTCAATGTACAAGGGATTTATTGTTAAAGCTATAAACATATTAATAAATTTGAAGGCAGCAGATTTTCCAGATAAAATACAATTAACACTAAACTTATTACAATTGCATAACAACATGCAGCGTAAGGCAAGTATGATTCTGAAAATCGTGAAGGCCTAACTAGCTTAGAGCTAAAGACCAAATACATAGCAAGTATGGTTGTATGAAGAAGAAGAACAGAATATTGATGTTCTCGGTGCGGAGTAGATGGAATTGCCAGTGGTACAAA